ACCTCTAGGCGAAACAGGTCAACGTTCACAGCCGCAAGCTCCAAATAACAAGTCTGCCGCCCACCCAGAGCTCCCAATCTAGTCCCACGGTTGGTGGATCAGATCAGTCCTCCAACAGAAACGATGGCAGAGCACGATGAAGGGTATAGGAGAGATTCTGAAGGTCGTTTCTGTAATTTCATCATACTGGGTTTTTTTTCTTTTTGGAACAAGTAGTACAAATCTTTGTAGGTTAGGGAATCGGCTGAATTGCTGAAGCTACACCTCTTCTCCCAAAAGTCCTAGAAAACCAGATGCCTGAGTCGGAATTGGAAAATCAGGGGGCTGGTATCAATATTATTGATGACGTCCTCTGTGGGGAGACGGTGCGCCTTTATGATTTTTCAGAATGAGAGGTATTGCCTATTAGTGGTTTCTAGGAAATTACCATCGCCCATTCATCGGTGGAAAGTTTGTTCTACCATTCATCTTTTGAGAATTTTTTACAGAATTTTTTTGACTCTATGACTTTTTGTCGTTCTTCACGTGATGGCGGAGTGGTATCACTCCGATCCATAACTGGGGAACACCACTAAATTGTATTTGACTTTCAACTCCTTTTCCTTCGCTCTTTATTAAAAAACAGATAATGATGGTGATGGGTAATTGTTTGTTCTAATTAAATGAAGAAAAAACCTTTTGTCATTAATTTCGCATGAGAAAAGCCGAATTTTTCCTCTTTTTTTTTAGGGTTAATATCAACTCTCATCCTTTTATTATTAAAAAAAAATTCAAGTTAAGCCTTCGGTTATTAATTTACTTTATGTCGTCTTTTTATTATTATTTAATTACACATATCCTTCCTCTATTATCACTTAACTACATATGTCTTCTCTTTTTACTAATAAAAAATATATTAATGTTGTCTTTTGTCTAATTTAAAGATAATAAATTATTTGTTAACTGTTAATATACAAATAGGTTAGACATTTAATTTTCTTATTATTTTTTAAAAAATAATTTATAAATAATTTTTGTATATTATCTTTTTATACAATTTTATACATCATTTAAATAATTATCTTTTTTATTTATTTAAGACTTATAATATTAAATATATTTATTTATTTAA